AGGAACGGGGTGGCGATCGGCCTCCGCACGCGCGAGTGACGTCGTTCCTCGCGCGCGGCCTCGCCTTTTCGGCGTCGGGGAGCGGCGAGGGAGCGCGCCCGACCCCCCTCGCCCTCCGTCGCCTCCGCGCGAGGGGGGAAAGGGGGGGAAAGGAGGGGGGTTCGCGCCCTCGCCGATGGCCGCCGCCGCGCGGCCGCTGCTCACCACTGCCGCCTCCCCTTCCTGCCGCTCGAACGACCCAACGAGGCTCGCCGAAAGCGTCGAGGTGCTGCATCGACTTCCACATTCATTCCAACTTCCAGTGCCGCCTTTTTCGTCGTCGTCGTCGTTTCCCGCGCCTTCGGTGTCGGAGGATCCAAGCGGGTGGAGTGTTCGGGATCGTCAGGGGTTTTATCATCCCGACGCGCTCTACGTCGTCGAGGATGTGAACAGCGAGGAGTGCTTTCAACGCCGCGTCGGGCCGAAGTGCTACGCCCGGGCGGAGGAAATCGCGCGGGTGATCGAGGAACTCCAAAATCGAGCGCAGGCGATTCAGGCGGTGGATGTGAACGCCGCGGATTATCAGGCGCGGTGTGTCGCCGAGGCCCGACGGCGAATTCGTGACGCGGAAGGGACGGGAAACGCGGCAACGCGCAAGGATGCCACCGTGGAAATCGACCCCGCGAGCGTGCACTGGGCTCGCGATGATCCCTTGGAGGAAGAAAGGGAGGATGAGGCGTGGCGGCTGCTTTGGAGCCCTTCCCCCTCGACGGAGGGGGGGTCGCTGATGGCGCGTTTTGATCCCAAACTCGCGCTTTGTGGGGCCGAGGAGGTGCGAAAAAGCCTCACCGCGATGCAGTTGACGCCGGAAAACGCCAAAACGCTTTATCGATGCGAACGTTATTACCTCACGCTCAGTCGTTACACTGCGTGCTATCTCGTGCATAAGGCTTTGCAGCTCCTTCTCCTCCCTCCGTATGGCGTCCTCCATAGGCTTTTAACGCAGCTTTTTGACGTGTGTTTGTTGCAAAAAGAGCCGGTGGCGGCGCGGATGGTGGATTTGTGGGGAGATTTGGTGGAGAAGGCGTTTCGTTCGAGTCTTTTTGAGGCGGCGTCGCGGGATTTTAGCCGGACGATCGCCCTCGCTGAGCTCAACGAGCACTTTCAGAAGGAATGGCAACGGTGTGTGCTGTGCAGTTCCGGCGCTGAGGAGGTCTATTGGCGGCTCGAGACCGAAAAAGGGAAGCGGGAGCGTCCAGACGACGAGGCGGGGTCGAGTTCCTCGGAAACCGCCCCGATGAAGGTCGTGCGGGGTCCTTTGGGGTTTTTATCGCAGCTGCGGCTTTGCTACACCGAATCGACCGCCGATCCCGCCTTCGACGAGCCTGCGAGCGGGGAAACCCCGCTTCAGCTGCTCCCGGAAGGTTTTATCGCCCGTTATGGCGAGCTCTTCACGTCGTTGTTGCGGTGGAAAACGATGGAGTCCTACGCGACGTCGACGTGGCGGCTTGGGTTTCGCGGCGGGCAGGTGGTGGAGGTTTCGTTTTTCTCCAACACCGCGCGTTATCTGTTAATTACGATGCAGCGGAGCATGTGGGATCGTCTTTGTGGATTGTGCGCGAACTACCGCGCCAGCCTGCGCTTTGAGCAAGGGATTTGGTATACCTACACGAGCCTCGACGACTTCACCCAGGAGCATCGGTTTTTTTTGCAGGAATGTCGTTTCGCCGCGATGTTGGATGGGGTTTTTACCCCGATATGGGGGCTTTTCACGCGGTTGATGCGGCTGATTGAATCGGTCCGGCGGCTGTTGAAAACCGTGGCGGGCGAGATGGCGGTGGAGCGTCGACGGATCCTCGCCGCGCATCACCTCCTCGACCTTTATCACGGCAGCGATCCCGACTCCGCCAGCGACGCGAGCAGTGAGGGAAGCCGGTCGACGAGCGCCTCCGCGTCCTCGACCGCCTCCTCTGCGGGGATGCCCGCGCGGGGAAAGGATCGCGCGAGTGGATTACCCCCTCTCACGGGATTCCCAACGACCACCTCGCCGGCGTCGAGCAAAACGAAAAGCGCGTGCGCGACGCCGCGGGGGAAAAAGCTCCACGACGACGCCGCCCCTTCCAAACCGCCCTCCACCACCTCCACCCCGCAAAGCCATCCCTCCAACCGCGAGGTCGATCGATCGAAAAAAATAAACGCGCACGCGAGCACGATCAAAGACGCTCGTCCATCCGCTCAGCAGCGAACCCCGAAGGTTTATCGCAAAAAACGAAAAACACGCGTGAAAAAAGCCACCAGCGCGGCGTCGGAGATTCCAAAGGCGAGCGAAACCCTCGCGCAACGCCAGAAACGTTATCGTATCACACGGCGGAAGATTTTAGAAGCCCACGAACCCCTCCATCGACGCCTGCGCGATGGGATTAAGCTGCATCTACGCGGGTTGGCCACGATCACGGAGGAGCTCATCACTGGGCTTTGCCACATCCGCGATGTCCACACGCTTAAAGAGCTCGGGGAGGTTCAAAACGCGATTCATGGACCCTTCACCACGTTGGATGATTCAGCACAAAAAGAGCAGCACCAAAGAAGTGAAGGGTCAGATCCGTGCATAACGGATTCAACCGATCGAATCATGCACAAAAAATGGGTAGAATATCGTCGACGGGTATTAACAGAGCGTATTTCCTTTCTTACCACTTTGATAAATCCGCTTCAAACGACGCTCGATTTGCTTAATCGTAAAATTTGAGCAGCAAAAAACATCAATCGCATGCACACGCGTGCAGCTGAGGGGAAAAAGTTCGTAGGAATACAACTCTCACCAAAAAAAAGGAAAAAAGTGAGTATGCAAATAAAGTGATATGTGAAGAGGACCCTTCTTTCATTTTATCGTTTTTATAAAATGGAAATTCCTGTTAGGATGCCTTCCTTTAGTATACATCTCCCTATTCTTCGATTAGGTTGCCCGTTCGCGGCATTGACAAAAAAAACTTCAACAAGTAGTATTACCTCCCCCCCCCCCCCCATCCCCGCCTCTCCCCCATTTTTATCATATTATTTTTCTCCCTCCTTTTTTTTTTGCTTTACAAGGAGAAAGAAACCCCCATCAAAGCTTGTCTTCCCATCTATCTCTCTATAGATATATTGATTGATTTATAACTCCCCCCCCCCCCCCTTCTTCTACCTGCCGCCCCCATGTCCGCCAACCTTCAAAAAATCAACGACATCGAGGCCGAGCTCGCGCGGACGCAGAAGAATAAGGCGACGATGGCGCACATCTGCTCTTTGAAAGCTCGGCTTGCGCAGCTCAAACGGGAGTTGATCGCCGCCGATTCCAAAAAAGGCGGCGGCAAAGGCGACGGGTTTGACGTTCAGAAAACGGGCGACGCGCGCGTCGGGTTTATTGGCTTTCCTTCGGTTGGAAAATCAACGTTGTTGAGTAAGATGACCTCCACCCGCTCGGAGATCGGCGCGTACGAGTTCACCACCCTTACCTGCGTTCCAGGGGTTGTGAATTATCGCGGGGCGAAGCTGCAGATGCTCGATCTTCCGGGAATTATCGAGGGCGCGAAGGAGGGAAAAGGTCGTGGGCGTCAGGTTATCGCCGTCGCGCGGACTTGCTCTCTTATTCTGATCATCCTCGATGTGGCGAAGCCGTTGCAGCATAAGTTGATTATTGAGCGCGAGCTCGACGGGTTCGGGATTCGGCTGAACACCTCCCCGCCGGATATCACGATTCGGAAGAAGGATCGCGGTGGGATTAGCATCTCCTCCACCTGCCAGCTGACGCAGCTTGATGAGGAAACGATCCGTAGCATTCTCGGGGAGTATCGGATGTCGAACGCGGATATCGTCTTCCGTGGCGACTACACCGCCGATGAGCTCATTGACGTGATTGAGGGGAATCGAATCTACATCCCTTGCCTTTATGTGTTGAACAAGATCGATCAGATCTCGATCGAGGAGCTCGACATTATCGCGCGACTTCCCCATAACTGCCCGATCTCCGCCCATCACGGGTGGAATTTGGATGGGTTACTGGAGTGTATCTGGGAGCATATGGGGTTTATTCGTGTGTATACGAAGCCGAAAGGGCAGGTTCCAGACTACAACGAGCCAGTGATTCTGAAACGGACGCCACAACCGAGGATTGAGAACTTTTGCAACCGTATCCACCGCCAGCTGCTGAAGAACTTCAAGTACGCGTGGGTTTGGGGTTCCTCCGTGAAGCATCAGCCTCAGCACGTTGGAAAGGATCATTTGTTAGAGGATGAGGATGTGGTGCAGATCGTGAAGAGAGTTTGAGATTCGGGTGACGATTAGCAGGAGGAGGAGGAGCAGAAGGGGATACTTTTGATCGATCGAAAATAAAAATGAAGAAGAAAAGCACGTGCAAATCGGATACTGACTTTTTTTTTGAAATGATTGGGTGACTGCTGTGGACTTTGCTGTATCGGCATGCGAATAAGTGGGTCACATGAATCCCTTTAAGTACCTTTGAAGCCACTCTGCTGTTGGCTTTCCCAGATATTGTTAACGTAATTTTCTTTTCCTAAATAATCACCTAATTCTGAGGGGACCAAGAAAGAGGATGATATTAATAAACAAGCATAGCAGGGTTTCTTTATTTATCAATAGAGAATATATTTCTTGCTGCGATGCCAGAATTGTATCCCGTTTATCATTCTTTTTAATTACTTCGGATATATTTCCCCTTATGCGTTGTCCAGAGTACTTCCACTGTAGAACCACTTGGTTCCATAGAAATACTTTGAAAAGGCTTGTAAAAAGGAGGAGAGAAAATTAAGAAATAAAGTATACTCAGAGAGAGAGAGAGAGCGAGAATGTGCGAGAGTGTGCGTTACTCATTCATATCCAATATACTGTTGTTACATTGTGATTTGCGATAAGTAGGTTTGGGAGTGTTTGGTTCTTAGATGGAGTAAAATATACAAAATATAAATGCATTGTCACGTCTGGTCAGGCAAACCTTTTAAGCTTTAGTTCCGATATGGAACGTATGACAAGGAGGACCAAAAAAATTAAAGTGTAAACCATACTCTTTGCACACTTTTCTCTTTTTTGGGGAATGATCCCTTAAATTTTTGAAAGGCGGAGAAGAAGAGTTCCCTCACCCTTACTCTTCGTGATTGTAACACTTGGAGGTATTTTGATTATACTTCAATTTGTAAGGGAATACATAACTGTAAAGGACAAAGCCATACTCACATTAAATATGACATCCAGGAGAATAATCGATATTCTGGTGGTGATTGGCCCGAGTGGGTGTGGAAAATCAACCCTCATCCGCCGTCTGCTGCGCGAATTTCCGCGCGATGTGGCGTTTAGCGTCAGCCATACCACGCGCCCGCCGCGTGCGGGCGAAATCGATGGTGTTGACTACCACTTTGTGGAAAAAGCCCATTTTGAGGAGCTCCTCGAGCGTCGGGCGATGATCGAATACACCTGGTTAGGTGGAGGGGAAACGGACAAGAACAAAGGGGAGACAGAGAACGAGAGGGAGGAAGGGAAAACGCGGGCCTCTCGGAATTACTACGGTACGAGCGTTCGCGCGCTCGAGGAGATTCTCGCGCAAAACAAGATTGTCCTGATGGATACCGATATCCTCGGGGCGATGCGAATACGCCGTTACTGCGAGCAGAAGGCGATGTCGCTCGGATCGGCTTCCCCATCGCTGTGGAATCGGGAGGCTACCAGAAACACTTCGTTTAGCGATATTCAGGAGGTGAAGATGAACCCCATGTGCGGTGAGTATCGCCAAAGCACGGAGGAAGGGGCTTTGCGCTCTCCGAACTGCACGGTTATTTTTATTGAGCCGCCGGACATGTCAACCCTGAAAGCCCGGTTGTGCGCACGAAAAAGCGAATCCGAGGATTCCCTTGCGTTTCGATTGAGACTGGGAAGTGGGTGGATTCGATGGGCCGATGCGAATAAAGAGTTGATTGATTATCGTCTTATTAATGATGACTTGGAGCAATGCTATGCGAAGATTAAGAGTATTCTGTTTGAAGGCTGCCCAAAGTCCCTCTCTAGTTCGCTCTAAGACCCCACTATCCACATTTACGCATATTTTATTTGTTAATCAACAGCTTGAGGCTTCAAAAAGAATATATATATATATCATTTTTTAATATATTTTAAAAGTTAACAAAAAGTGCGTCTCGTGTGGATCTAACATTTCGATTTGCAGTTTTTTAATGTTAACTTTCTTGAGCTGCTCAATAACACAACTGCATAACGTACGCTATAAACTCCAAAAAACGTTAGCGATAGTTTGGAACCACTTTGTTGGATTTGCTCGGGAAATTAAATTTCATACATACACATGCAGAAATAGGATCCCTCACCCCAAGTTTTTTTTTTTTTATAGCTCAATAGGCGATAATAATCACAACACAAAAATACTACACGGCTTAATCTCAAAAAGGGAAAAGCTTCTTTATCATGGCCGAGGATCGAGCCATTGAGGCCTTATTGGCGGGCTGCCTGTCGGGAGATGTTTACTCCCCCTGGACGACGGTGAGATCCTTCCTGGAGCGGCGCTATCTCTCCCCAAACTCCAGAGGAAGCGTCGAGGATGCCTGTGCGTTTATCCTAAAAGCCTTTAAAGTGGCCGTGCTACCCTGCCTCGCGGCCGAAATTGCGGAGAAGCTGTGTGAGAGTTTGTTCGAGGTGCTTCGCCGCTACCACAAGCCCTTGAATGAGTCCTTCGCCATGCATACGCTTTTGGAGCTGCGTGAACAGTTTAAATTGGTGTTAGACGACCCCGTTACCTCGCCGGTGATCCTCGATCAGGCGGAAGGACCTCAAGCCGCTCCCGTGATCGTACCGGCCTGTGAAACGATAGAAAGGCGTATTTCCTTTTACGCCGCGCATTTGTGGTTTTGCGAATCTGTCTTCTTCGGGATTCTTCGAGAAGAAAAACTTGCAAGGGAGGCGGCGTCCGCAGATCCTCACTCCTCATTAGATTCCTGGTTACCCCAATGGAAAAATGAATGGGTGGAAGGCATCATGATGGATTCGCGTCGTTTCGCGCATTATCTTTTTAAATCGCTGGCTTCTCGTCCGTCATCCGAAGGGCAATCGGCTTCCAACCAAAATGAGCGTCCTCAATTACCAATTCTACAGCGGTGGACCCTTCTAAAGGTCTGGCAGCGCGTGATGCGGTGGAGTATCCACTCCGAGAAATCGATCGTGCGGAAGAGAAATATGGAAACGGTTTGGAAATTGCTCGTGACGGATCTTTCGCCGTTGCAAACCCGATGGGTGTTGGCGCTTTTCGTTCACGATGTGTTGTTGTCGTCGGAGGCTTTTCCCGAACGCGCTGCGCAGGCCGTCGCCGATGTCGAACAGGCGGGATTGGAAGGCGGGAAACGGGTGAGGCTTTTACCTTCGATTTCCATCCCGGAGGCGATAGAAGGGGCTCGTCTGGCGATTCAAATCGGGATTGAACAGGGCTTCGGATTACAAAAGGGTGAGACCAATTTCATGCCCGAGGGAAGCGGTCACGACGAGATCGCGAAATGCCATGAATGGGATATCTTCCTCCAGTGCTTCGTCGCGATCCTGGAGGGAAATGGGTTGGGGAAGCGCCCTTGTGGGGCCTCTGAGGGGGCTTCTAACGCAAATGGCTGTGGAAGCGACGCGTTCAGGAAGTTGTATCGGCGCTTATGCAACTTCTTTTCAGGGCGGCTGAAGGAATTACCCTTTCTGGATTGGGAGGCGGTGGCGGCAGCCTACGCATAGTTTATCGGGTCTGTTGTGTTTTGTTGTTATTCAAAGTTGGGATGATAATCAATTTCTTATATTTATGCAATATTTCACTTTAAAAAAACATCGGAAGTTGAAGCTAGTGCTTTGGTCTCTGAGTATATGACGAGATTTAGTACACATTGAGATTATGCGCTGTTGGAGGAAAAAAAAATAAACCATAAGATGTCTTTTGGTCTAATCGAATCAAATGAGGAGACATTTTTTCGAGATCCCTTTTTCACCTTTCCACTAGGCTCGTATTCAAATTTCATTTCAAGGTTTTTTGTTTATATTTGTGGATACCAAGCGTTTTCCCTGCGGTTTCGAATTCCCCAAATGAGTTCCCTCAATTGTAGTTCCAGGCTGCCCGTCTCCGGTTCCGTGGCGGACATCCCCTCCGACGTTCAACTCTCGAACCCACCCCCCCACGATGGCGGTTCTTCTGCCGATGGAAACGCCTTTTTTTCACTTCCGTCATCGCCGAAAGTTCCTGAAGGCTTTGATAGCCCTCGCGAGAGTGGAAATTGGCTGATCCATCAGCTTTTCATCCGACAGGAGTACGCTGCCTGCCTCGCGATGGTTGAAACGCAGCTCCGTGAATCGGAAGGGCTCTGTGCGTACGCGTTATTCGTGAAAGGCCTTCTCAAACGCATCGATGGGGCGCTCATGGAATCCTTGGGGCTTCTTCAAACCGCCGTGTTGATCGCACCGAGGAGTGTGGCGAATCGCAAGGAGCTCGGCCGTGCGTTTCTTCTCTGTGGTTTTCACGAGGAGGCGATTGCGGCGTTCGAGGAGGCCGAATCTCTCGCCGCCGCGCAGCATGAGACGGAGGATTGGGAGATTCGTTACGGGATCGGGAAATGTTATATGGGGCTTGGGCAGTACGAGAACGCCGTGCACGCGTTCATGCGCTCCTCTGGGGTGCAATATCATGATGCGATCACTCTCCAGCTCGGGGAGGCGCTGAGCGGGTTGAAGGATTATTCATCGGCGATTCGTCTCTGTGAGGCCGCGCTGAGGAACTCCCCGAGCAACCCCGCGTTGTTTGAACTGCTTGGAAAGCTTTACACGCAGGAAAATCGAACGCAGGAGGCGTTTCAGTGTTTTAGCTCTTGTTTACGGCTGGATCCGACAAACGAGCTGGCGCTCGCGGCGGTCTCGAGCGTGTTTCACGAGAATGCGCAGTACGAGGTGGCGTTGGGAAAGTATGGGATCGCCCTCGCGCGGATGCCAGACTCCGCGGAGTTGTGGGGTAACGTCGGGGGATGTTTTTTTGCGCAAAAAAAAACCCACGCCGCGGTGGCATGCCTTCGTAAATCCCTCCTGCTCGATCCCTTTGAATGGAAGACGCATTACAATTTAGCAACCACCTATTTGAGTTTAGGACGTTACGTTTCCGCGTTTCATCACATCTCCGCAAGTATCACGTTGAATCCGAAGTACGCGCCCTCGTATATGCTACTGGGGGTTTGTTTATCCCTCGCCAAGGACCTGGATAACGCCTGTGAGGCGTACGAAAAGGCGATTTCCTTGCGCGAAGGGGATCTTTTGCTTCGCCTGAACTACGCCGTTACGTTGCTGAATCACGCCCGGGTGGAGGAGGGGACTATTCAGTTTCAGGTGGCCCTCTCGATTTGGAATGAATCCTCGGCGGAGCAGCGGAGTAAGGCGAGCGCGTCGCTTTTACGCACTCTGAAGTTTCTCCAACAACGATTAAAGGGTGGCGAAGGTGAAGTCGTTGAGGGCGCGTCGATCGGGGAGGCTGCGTTTGCATCCGAAGCCCCAGCGAGTGGAGGGGGTTTGCTTCCGGAGGCGAATTCGATTCCCACGGTGGGGCCCTCGCAGCAGAGAGAGAGGGGAGCCTAATCATCGGCGATGCGGCTAAAAAGATGGAGCATTGATCTCTCCTACTCACCGCTCGACTCTCTCGCCCTACCTTACCACCATCCCTTGCTCTTTCTTCTTCACGAGCACCATGAATACGCGTTGATATTCAACGTGATGGGAAAATTGACACCCCACCATCGGTATCCTTTTATTCAGCATCAGTTCTAACTTATTCGATGTAACAGTTTGGTTGCCCATTATAGAACTACCAAACATGGGTTTTCATGTATCAAATAGGTCCTAAGGAGGAAACATTATTGCAGATTTTCCTTCTTTTCTTTGCCCCCCTTTCAATATTCTCCCCTCCCCTCCCCCCCCATTTTAATTATCGTTTAATATGCTCTGAATATATATATACATATATTATGTGGGGGAATTGCTCAAAAAAAAAACACGTCCCCTATAACCAGGGGGAGAAAAAGGATATAGATCAAAAGTCCAACCTTTTTGAGATTTGGTCTCGCTAAAGTATGAAGCGCTAACTATAAAATAAAAATGAAAATGTTTCCTACTGCACTCGCACTGTCTTTGTTCCCTTTTAAACACTTCTCTCTTCTGCATCTAAGCTAATCGAACACACACACACACACAGACTATATATATATATATATATATATATATATATATATATTATTATTTATTATAGTAGTAGTA